TATATATATATATATATATATATATATATAATATAACTAAGGAATTACAGGGCACGAAGTCGCCTCTTCAGCGCTTCGGGAGGCGATCGAAATTTCAAATCCAATTTTACAAAGTACATATGTACTATATAAAATATAATATGCGCATCAAACAAATTAATAATTTGATAATTTGAAGTCACCTTTCCTTTGTAAATGAATTGAATCACATTTGAGCTGGTCAGGACCTAATATTCTACACAGTTAGTCTGCATTTTCTTGCACCGCTGTTATCTGTAATGTTAAAACAAGTATTTACGTAGGTTATAATGCTATTCTTGTATTGTATACATTTTTTGTTATTTGGCAAAAAACAATACCCCACAACCTTTAAGACTAATTCTTTTACATGTACGTAGACGATAAATATTGGCTTTTGCTATTATGGGGTTTGAAATTCCTACAGCGCAAGCTTGAGAAAGCATTCTCACGCAGAGGAAGAGAGCTCAGTTGTAAACGCTTTTACCTAAGCGTCAGTGACTAGTGACCCTTAAGTAAAAGAAAAAATAAGCAAATGCCGTGGCAGCAGCCGCAGTAAGACGGGGAATGCAGGCACTAAACACTTCGTTGTTCCTTACTCGGCCGCCTGCACCCGAATAGAAGGACATGCACTAAATTCAGACAGGTCCTGCTGCAACTTTTGTCAAGGGCATGCCCTGCGCAGCCTTATGCATACGAAAGTACAGAGAAAAAGTGGTGGTGGAGCAACGGAGTGATGCCAATACGCGCATTTACATCGACATGAATTTCCGTGTGTGCTGAATTGACCTCCTAAAGGGCAACTAGAAAACCACGGCTCTCAATAAGGGCGAAACTGTACAATTCCAGGGCCAGAAAGAGGCGTAGAATTCATGGCAGAGTGGCCTGGTGTGCTTCATCGATATCACCGCCTTGAGAATGAGGAGAATTGCTTGACTTTTTTAAACTGGTTGTGTGACTATTGCGGCGAGATCAAGAAGACGGTGAGAGAGGGAATCGAATAGCCCTATATCTGCTTGGTCCTATTTTGTAGGCCATCCTCCCTTGCAGGCTAGCAGGTTTTGTGACTTAATGCCGACCTAACTGGATAGCTGCTGGGACTCCGCACCAGGAAGTATATTAGTAGGGTGCACTGCATCTGGATGCTAGTAGCAATGTGAACCATACCGAAGTCCCGAGAGAATGCCCCGACAGGAAGAAGCTTGTTGCTGCCTAGTGCGCAGCTTTAGCCCAAGCTCATTGTAGTGTTGCCTAGGCATTGCGGCTCAGTGCGCCGCTGTAAAACTCAGGGACACATCACCGGCCACTCTACAGTCTGACTCGGCAATTCCCAACAAACGGCTTACTGGACAGCTAGTGTTGTATGCCTTTTGAAAAGTTTAACTTCCCGTGTGCAAATGCTACATGTGGAACGCCGTGTGTCTGTCGCCTACAAATTCGGCGGGAAGACCACCAGGAGTCATGTGGGTCCAGTCGCGCAGCTGGCAAGACGCGTAAGGATACAGAAAATTGTAACACTGAAAATTTAATACTTTTTGTTATTTCAACTCACCATGCTAGTAACTTCATCGTCTGTAAGTATTTTGGAGCAGAAATAAACCGCTGCAGCCCGTTGAACCCTACGGGAGGCTTTCCGACTCCCTCAGATCGCCATACAGTATTTACTGCGATAACTACCCTGCAGTACATTTTCATATAAAGGTATTTTAAAGAAAGTGCAGTGGCGTCTTTTTGGGACTGTGGTGTAAGAGGCTTCCGCCTGCTGTGAAGGGGGCCGGGCGGTCTCGTTCCCGGCGAACCAGTGGGTCAGCAGGCTCTTTGCAGGCTATGCTTGCCCACAAGTTTCCAGTGAAATCGCAGACGGCCAAGTTTATGTAAAAATAATCAACCTTTCTTGTCATCTGTTGTGCTTTGTGGCTCTTTGAGTGCGTACAATTGCCGCTGCCCCAAGCCAGAGCGTGGGCAAGGCCGCAGAACACTCGAGTGACCCCTCGACTGCGAGGGCGTGAACAGTGTGAAGACAAAAAAGCACACACACTCGCATATATATGTGATTCTTGTAGAATACTAGGCCAGACAGGACGTCGGACAGCCCACCGCAGAACCAGAGGAATTGAGCATCTGTTGGAGGAATCTGCTGAAGACACTTCGCTCGTTTCTCTATGACAGATGATGGCTGGAAAATGCCTCTTTTCCTGCTTTGTCGTGCTCATCTGCGGCTCTCTAGGTGAGTGGGGCCTCCAAACCTTCACCTGTGCTCCTTTTTTCTGCAAGTTTTCCGCAGCCAGTTATGGTTCTATTGCTGTGCAGTAGGCTGCACAGCAAGCCCCGCATGAATTTCCCAAGCTGCTTTCATCTTGGGTGTCCAATGCTCAGCTGCTTCGGGACAACTGGCTCAACCACTTTTTGTTAACTTCGCTGGTAGGCGGTTTGGTCTGCACCATTTCACGTCGGCGGCCATTCTGAGCAGTTGAAGACGTATTAGTCTCCGTTTAGGCAGTGAAGAGTTTTGGTGAAAGGCGCGGATTGAGCGATCTATGAGGTTCTTTCTGTCTAATGAACTCAGGTTGTTCGGAGCCCCTCTTCTTCCCTGCTGCGTCAATACTCACTTACCGGCAACACGTGTTAAATGCCCTTATTCAGGTGTTTCAACTACGCCATCCCGATGATGATATCGGAGGGCCGCAAGTGATGGCGGCCTGCACGCAGGCAGCCGCTCTATTAGACACTTACCGCAGCCTCCGCTCGACCTACTTAGACTACCATATGCAACATAACCCACAAGCAGGCATGTCCGAGGACAGCGCTGCCTGGATGACAGGGCGCTTCAACCTCATGCTGCAGGAAGACAAGGCAGTTGCAAATGACAAAAATCTTCAGAAAGGGCTGAAGTGGTGTATCGACTCAAGTACGGCAGGCAAAGCTATCCTGGGAGAACCCCTGGAGCCCGAGCTCTTCTAAGCAGTGCATAGCGCATGCTGCTGAGATCGGCCTTCCAAGGTGGTGCCCAACCCGAATGCTTTCTTTGTATGGAAAGTATTGGCTGTGTGTGTCGTTCAATTTCTTCGTCCTCTGCAGCCCTAGTCGTTCAGAAAATTCTTTCTCAACGAGCTCTTTCAAATGTCAACGAAAGCCCTACGTCTCCTGGCAATGCCTTCAATAACTTATTGGACGCCTCGCGCACCGCTGGTGCTTCGCATACACGCCGCATTGCACAGTACCTCCTAGCGAGATGCCGAGATGAGTCAAAGGAAACGTCCGCTCAGCTTTATGCCTGGGCAGCACTCAGCGTCGGGATTGCTGAAGCCTTTTTCAGAGGTCAACTAACCTGCGCAATCAACGCAAAGACCAGCTCGGCAGTGGACCTCAGTCTTGTTAAAGCTGCGTTGTCACTAAGCTGGGGCAAACTGGAAGCAGAAGAAGTCCTACAGCCCCATGCGCTCCTCGAACAGGCTGTGAAAAGCATTGGAAAGAGCAAGTTTCTAACGGACTCTGACAGGAAGCACATGCAGAAAAACTGCTCTAGGATTGGTAAGCCAAAAACTCAACCATTTTGGCCCTTTCTAGGGGATCCACAGAACTTGCATGAGGTGCTTCTCTCCATGTACTCGGTTCCTTCAAGTGAAGACAGTGAACCAGGCCATGGAGAAGAGGGCGGTGGAAATCCGGAACCCCGTATGGAAACACAAGAGCACTCTGAGAATGGACACCCACAATTCCCCGCAGGGCTTTCTAACGAAAGTGCAGGTGCGCTGAACTTTCCTCTACTTCTCCTTACTACTCAAAGTGTGATGCTTATGAAAATGCTACTTTTTTTGCACTGGAGAGTTGTTCGTGCGTCTTCCCGAGCAGAACCGACCGGCGAGACACCTAATCCCCCGGGCCAGCCACCTCCACCCCCTCCCCCAGCACATCGAGAAGAGCCTCCTTTAGAAGCTACGGAGGAGGTACTTTCGCACCCGCCAATTGCACCAGTACCACCAGGTAAGTATGAGGCGAACACACAGGAAACTGTGGAGGTACACATCCCTACGTAACAAGCGTGCCCTCAGGGCTACTATGGGAGCATCCAGTGTAGCTGCCTCCTGAAAATGACCAACCAAATACAGGAGACCGCATTTAGACGGCAAAAGACAAACATACTCCAGGTAGTAAGCCCTGGAGGCCGGAATACTGATCTTTGTGTGCCTTGCCACTCAGGACCGAGCGGTGAGAAAAAACCTCACCCGCAGGGACAGCCACCACCACCCCATCCACCAGTACATCGAGGAATGCCCCCTTTAGACGCTACAGAGGTGGTGCCCAGTGAATCAACTGCAACAGTACCACCAGGTGAGCATGAGGAGCAAACAGCCTCACTGGAGACTGTGGAAGCACCGGCCAATACACAAGACGAACACGCAAATCCCCAGGGAGCTGAAGGCGAGCCTCCTCCAGTGCCGCCGCGCCCTGAAGAAAACCAGCCAGGTGCAGAAGAGACCAATGTCACGGCCAGTGCGGCCATCATTCCAGTGCCCTTCCCCAAACCAGAAGACAAAGAACTGGCCAAGCCAACTCAACCTTCTCCAAACCAAGGCCAGGAGAATCCTCATGACGGCTCACCGACCGGGCCGCCTCCCGCGCCACCGAAAGTGCCTCACTCAGGCTCAACAAACCAAACAGAAGATAGAACAAGAGATAATTCCTCCCCAGTTCCTATTCCTTCAGAGCACTCTGACGAAGCTAGAGACGCAGATACGATGCCGCCGAGGGAACTGCCTCAACGTATCAAACTTGGCTACAGAAGCGGCAGCCTGCCTACAAAGCGCCCGGAAGGTTCCAATACGAAACCTAGACGCTCTCAATCAGATAACTACAATCGCCACAGAAAAGCGGATCCAGCAGGACAAGGGGCGCATCTGTTCAACCATCGGCTGTTGACGGGAGCAGGCTCAGCTACAACCATCGAAAGTGAGCCTGCCGGCCCATCTGGGGGCCTGCATGCTCGTACGCCATCTCAGAGCAGATAGAGCCAAGGGACAGCAACGACCTGTGGGCGCTGGAATGAAGTTTGCTGCTAGTCCTTTTCTTCTCCGTGGAGAGGGATGCAGCAGGGGCGGGGATTAAGGAGCACGTCTGCTCTTTTCGCATACGGAGAATGAGTACCTGTACTACTTTTGTACACGGTAGTTCCCCAGCAGCCGTACACACAGTGATGCTTCAATTGTGTCAATCCATCTTACTTATGAGCTGTCTAAGCAGCAACTTCGTCATACAGAAAGACGGGGCAGAGCATCCGACTGCTCTGATGCCATGGGGACAGCAAAAATGATGGATACGGCCGAATGCAAGGCATAGAGGGAATCGTGCGGAGCAAATTTGGAAGACTGGTAAATTTTCTCTTTAAGATTATTGTTTTACGCTTCGTATGAAGCATTGGCAACCCGGGGCTCAACGCAGTTCTATTCGAGTTCCAGCCTTTTTGAAACACTGTCCTACAATGAATTTTATGAGAATACTTTGGTGCAACTAGGAACGTGCCCGGGAGAACTCATCGAGTCTGTAGGAGGCAAAACGAGGCTCTCAGAAGCTGTAATGGCAGTTATCGGCTCACTTCAGTTGTTCTTTGTTACAAGGATAATTCCACCATTATCCCTGTGCTTGCCTGTCCCGCTGAAGTCAGTTCACAGTGCGAATGTGGAATGCACCGGGCTGCGAGCAGAGCTTCGTGCTTCCGGCTGTACGGGATGAATACAGCTATCCAACAATTGAGGCAAAAACGAAATAGTTTATACTACGTGCTGCTGACGAAGGCAGTTTGCGTGCTAAATCTTAACTAAAACCTAGAATCTGAGGTCTTCGGTTCCACATGGCAGGTGAATTGAGCTATGCCGCGGCGAGCAGCATTTGCAAGCGTTGAGATGCATTATTCAATGTGCCGCCCCTTGAGCCCCTTCTTTTCAAGAAAAAGCATCCACTGCATTGTGCGCGTTACCCCCGCAGTTGTATTTTCCAGACAGTAGTGGAAGCGCACAGTCTCCCGAATGAAGCCCAGAGAAGAAATCGCTGCGCTGCGTCATGCTGCGCGGGAAACGATTTGGTTGGACCGTATACGTTCTATTTTCGTCCCTTTCCCCTCCTATTTTGTCTGTGTGCATAAATTGCACACGTGAATTCCGGCGGTGCAGAGGTTTGTAAACCTTCAATCTAGCTCCTCCGCCGAAACAAAGCGCGACCTACAGAGCCTCATTTTGCCTCTTCCTCTTGATTGTCTCTGGTTCTAAGCTTGGGCCTACGCAGCAGTCGCCATGACTCTCTGTGCGGTTCTTACCAGGATTTTGGGCGAGATATTCATGCCCAACACTGATCCTGACTAGGGCACAGGCTGACTGCGTACATCATTTTTCAACGTTTGCTCTGTCTCAACGCGCTTATGCAGGGGCGCCGTTTTTTGTTCATCATATAGCTGAACTGCATGGACACGAGATTGTGGATTCTTGTGCATCGTCTGTAGGTTCCCCTGCGGTATTAGCTGCAAAATATCATTTTTATTCAACTCATGCAAATTCAATTTCACACCTTTGAAGCAAGGGCTGTCTTTCGTTGCCGCTGCTAGCAATGGATTGCTCGGGGCCTCAGCGGCAACCCATGCGCACGGTGAGGGCTCTCTTTGAAGGAACTACCCCGGAATTCTGGATTAAAATCATTAAAATCGTCGACAATTACTCTGATGCTCAGATGTCGAAACCATAAGCTGAGGATTGGTGCGGTTAGAGCGGCATCATTATTCACGCCTGGAATAGGGTCACTTCGGCAAGGGGGGTGGGGGTTAACGGGGAGCACGCAAAAAGGCACGCGGACTGAAAGCGCCGCCGTTTCCTTTCTTTAATCTCAAACCCATGAAAACGAAGCATATTGTGTGGTAAAATCCCCCATTTTGATGGCTTCTACGAATGGGAGTCCTAGCCGTTTTCTTTTGCAGCAGCCCCTCCACTGTCGTGCTCTAACGTTCCTAGCCCGCATTCGACTGTTTAGCTTCCCAGTACCTCCTTAGACCCATTTATAGCTTCGTGCATGCACAAATAAGGGCTTTATACACCCATTTACGGCCAACAGGGTTGCCCGTGTCGCCAACTTCCCTGCGGTAATTACTGCCCAGTTCCCGGCTGCCTCCCCGGCATCGTCCAACGAGCATGACAAAATGGAGGGGTTCCAGCGGCAGGTAAAGCATCCACCATGGACGACAGAGGCTCACCACCTTCGACTTCTTCACAACGCGTGCAGCGCCCCCGCTGCCCTTAAGCGGTTCCCTCGCAATGCAGCGACCGCAAATGCAGTCGCTGCTGAGGGCTGCAAAAAAACTCCCCCCTCATGCAACAGGATGATCATTCCCATTTTCCAGGGACCCTCTCGGATCGTGGCGTCTGGCTTCTGCGAGCGCGCTCATCCCGAACGGATCTCATCACAGCAACAGCCACTACGGAGCGAGATGCTGCAGTCAACAGCTAGCTCCCGTAGTCATGGATCCCAGCTTTTCCCTCTCCTCACCAGGTATTTCTTCAATGGTTTGTCCTTCAACAGCAATGCCAGCCAACATGCTGCGTTCTGCGCCGCTCTGTAAATGAAGTGCGCAATGCTTCACAACCGCTCCAGCACACCACCTTGACGAGACGTACGTGCCTCCAGTCTTGCTTCTTCTCTCTTGAACAATGCCACTCGGAAAGCTGTGTGCTGTTCGGTGTTGGGCGTCGAAGGTCATGCTCCTCTCCGGAAGTTAACGTGAAGGGCCAATCAGGCGCGCCTTGTTGTGATGTGGGACGGGGCTCGTTGCCACCTGTCAAGCAGTCAAAACCAAAGATCACAACAGGAAATGTAACTCCTTCTTTCTTTGGAGGCCAAATCGCTCCACTGCCTCTCTTTGACTCCCGAGCTGCAGCAGCAACTGCTGCCTCGTGCTGTACGCATGCAGCAACAGCAGACGCTGCCAGCCCGAGGAGGTGGGGCGGGACGACCCTTGTTAGCAACATCAGTAAGAGGAGTTATAAAGCTCAAAATGCTCATGAAATCAATAGACTATCAATTCAGCGGCTAAAAGGGAACTTGCAAAAGAAATGCAAATTAGGGCCGCTTTGCCCGTGGCAGACAGATGTGAACTCAACAGGGGAGTACAAGACCGCAGCCGACGCAGCAAGGGGTAGAGAAAAGTCCGGGCAAACGAAAGCTGTGGGCTGCACGGCTTCTCCAACAGCTATTGAAGCATATGCAAAATCCCCTCGTCCCTGTAGCCCCCCAGGAAGCCCGAGGGGTTTTTTGGGGCATGAGAAACACCGACGCTCATGCCAACCTTGCGTTGACTCAAGTAACTCTTTCTGCAGCTACCACGAGGCGGAACTAGGAATGGCGAATATGGCACAGCTGCGAGCTCCCGCAGAAAGGCCAGATATAACTGTAACCCCCGTATGGACAAGAATCGCACGTTTGCCCAGTGTCCACTGCCTTGCTCATCCCTGCGCACCCATTCAGCTACTGTGCTTCAACAGCTGCCATACGTTCCTTACCTGCAGAGGACGAAAAGCCTGCTTCCGTTGCAGCGACACACTTACTGTGTACGTGAGTGAGACAGAGATACGGCATTTTCGTTCCTTTAGGGAAAACAAGACGCGTCGTGCGCGACAGCCAAGACTTTGTTGGATCCGAAGCACCGACCGGAAGAAAGCTCATTGGCATTTACTCCCTTGCTGGGGGGTCTTCATGCATCTACGCAACGTCAGGAGGCACGGGTAGCCCCTACAGAGCACTGTCTCCTTGTTGCTGAAGCGCATGCTTTCAGCATTGCCGATTTGCGCACGAGCCTTTGTTGTATTCATGCTTAGGCGATGGACGAGCAAACGTAGCAGCGTCAGCTACGGCGACGCTAAAGGATGGAAGTTTGTGCCTCAATTTCTAGGAGTCAGCCGTGTGTTTTTTCATTGCAGCTGTTGACAACAACCTTGAGAGATTCGAAGGAATGATTGGCCCGATTGTTAAGCTTCTAGTGGCCAAGAGTGTTGAGCAGGCTGTTGAGGAGGCAAAGCAGGAGCAACAACTGTTTTCGCTTCACAAGCGAAGGCAAGAACTGTTGCAACATCAACAGCAGCAGTTGCTTGAGTTGGAGGAGCGCGAAGCACGCAGGCACTTGCAGGCGCAACAAGCTGTACAAAACCAACGCATTGTGTGAGCGAAAACATACAAGCTAATTAAGGAGATCAAAGGAACCACAATATCGCCCACGACAAAATCCGTTCTTATTTCATGAGCCATGTACAGTTGGGCATTGGGGAGGAAAGCGCGTTTTAGTCGACTCACGATACCAGCTGCGGGGATGAACCCATATGGCTACAGGAGGGAACGTGAAACTCAGCTCTGGCGTCATTTGTGGGTAGCTCACATCGGCACAACTCTTCTAGACGAAGACTCTTTTGGAAAAGTCGTGGACCAGTTGGATGAGGTATCGTTTGGTACCATAACTCGACTATTCAGACGCTAAACGTGCTGACTTCTTCCTTATTCCCGTGAAGATCCACGCCTGTTCGTCAGAACTGGAAAGGTTTTTGCAACTGTCCACATGCGGAGAATACGCATACCTAGGACTGCCGTACTGTGGTTGCAGGAGAGTTTGTTCTTATCATCAGCTGACCTCGTTCCAGACGAGTTCCTGGCAGAAGTCTTCAAGGCAGCTTCTGCGGAGCTCAAGAAACGGAAGGTGAGGAGAGGCGCGGCCCTAAAAGTTTAATTATCGAACAAGCTCAAAAGCATTCGGCTGTCTCAGGCCAGCACGCTTCTCATGGAAATCTAGCCTACTTGATGGTTTTGCTTTCATCCCCTGGAATGTTATTCCCTGGGAAGAATAGAGGCTTGAAGAAATTAAATGCGTTACTACTGACGATCGGCTCGTCGTGAGCCATATGCACTTTACCTTAATACTCCTGTCGACCCACGTACCACCTTAACTGAGCTGGGGTTGGCGCATCGGAATGAAGAGCGTATGATTCATTTTCTCTGTTGAAGGGTCATGACCCATCCTTCAGGAGGCAGGCATTGTGACCAGTCAGTTGCAGCCTTCTACAATAACTGAGCACATAAATGAATTGCGTTAAAATATAGGATATCGGCGAGGAGCTAGTGAAGTGGTGGTTCAATGCAGAGGCGGTGCAGACAGCCAATCGCCGACAGCAAGCGTTGCTGCTCTGGGGACAGCACTTAAAGATGAGAGAAAAAATCAAGCGACAGAGAGAGCTGCGGCGAGGAATTGCTCATATTTTTGTCACCCCCACAGGTGGAAACGCTCGTCCTGATTAGTGCCTGAAATGCGCACTGTAGCCTTGCATTGCCAAAGAATATTAAACATTTGGCATTGCAGAAATGCCCACCAGATCATCCTCGGAGGAACAGTAGCTCCTGAGGTGTTATGTTGCTTGCATAACTGTTTCTATCCCTCGAGCATTCAATGTTTGCATCACCCGCAGAGCTCAACCGAGCAGCCAAGTTTTGGACGTCGGGAAGGAAGCCAACAAATATTTTGAAACGCCAGTCCTTTGAGCCCTCAAACTGTGCGGCTTTTACCGAGTTCGTTGCAAGTTATGCGTATCACTGAGCTTGCCGCTCTTAGATGTATCTCATATCGTAGAGCGAAAAAGCCAAGCGTGTGAGTATTCAATACAAGGCTAATCATGCAGCTCCTCAGCTTCATTCACTTGGTGGTGTCTTTTGGTTTAGCATGCCTTGCTTGTAGACTTCGAAGAGATAGGGCCCGAGCTACATTCAATTCAGGAAGCCATGCGATTCGAGGACACTGCGGAGATGCATCGGAAGGCGCAGGCCACTGTGGAGGCCGCCGCTGACCTCGTTTCACTCAGCCTACCAAATGACGCTTCCGAGAAAGGAGGCCATAGCCGGCAGTGCGCACTCAAAGCAGAGGCGGAAAGGCTCACGGAAGCCTTTGAAGAGCAACAACGGCAACGTCTGTCTCCCGGGATCCATAAAATACCTTCCGAAAGACAGAAAACCATCCAAGACGAGTCAGACGAGAAAGAGAACAACGGCAACAGCAGTTGCCCACCTGGATCTTCCGCTGCTATTTGCATTGGTCCCTTCAAGTTGTTTCGGAAACAGGGACCAGCCACTTGCCAGAAAAGGTTTATCAGCATGGAGAAACTCCAACAAGAAGTACAAAAAAGGATGTGCAATTGTTTCAGAGACATGGCAGCAATAATCCGCACTTCTCAGGTCATCTTTGAGGCAAGGGGAATAAAAATATTAGTATGTAATGCACTGTCTACGTCACACTGACGCTTAGGTTCCGGAGACAGGAATATTGCCGACAAAACTATCCCCGCACGGTGCATCCGGAGCCGCAGAGCTTCGTCTGGTGCTGCGGAGCCCGTTTTGCTCACCCTCTCGTCTTGCCAAACGGATATATTACTTTGAGGAAGGAGAAGCTAGGATGTAGACAGAATTCACTGCTCGTGCCTCTTTGTGAAATCAGGAAGTACAGTCCATGCTCAAGTACGAGTACGGCGACCTGCGAGTTCGACTGGACAGGAAGATCACATTTGCCAACCCGCTAGGTGAATCCGAAAGCGACGTCGAAAGTGAAGAACCTCGAGATATCAACTAAGCTGCAACTGCATGCGTGCTTCGAGTCCGCGGTTTGTGTTAGGTTTGCCCCATATGCAGCACGTCCTTGAATTCTAAAAGGAATGAACCGAAGGACTGTATCACACGCCGCTGTGCAGGCACTCGCCTATTGGACCTTTTACACCCTTACGCAAGTAACATGCTTTGTTCATGATTATTCGGAATAAACTTTTCCAGGCTGTACAAGCGCCCCTGTCCTGCTTGGTGATACCACGTACTCCCGCCATACACAGGGCGTTTGAGCGGTGCTGAAACAGAGACAAGTAAAGTGAAAAATAGCCAAGTGGCACATAACGAAGAGAGCAACGAAGAGAAAATGTTCACTCGCGCAGAGATCCTGAGTGGGAATGGGCAACTATGGCAAAGCACTCTGGAGTTTCTTCCGATTCGACGAACTGTTGGAGGGTAGCTGCCGTGAAGCCTTTCTGTCGCAGCCACCAGACTCTGCAGCAAGCAAACCCGAAAGATACAGGAAAACGAACAGGGATAACGGGTCTTAAATGGCACTGGAGGCTTAGATACCTGTGTATGCTGCACCACCGAGATGAATCAGATGTCTTGGCCCTCAAGGCATGCCACTTTATTATATGAGGACACGCTGAAGAAGCTTAGCGTCAGCGGTTCTATTGATAGGGACCAGCGGCTACCTGGAAATATCTAAGATCCTCTTCACCATATTCCCGATTTCGCGCCTTCTGTCGGCTGTCCCAGTAGCCCACCTGAAAGAAAGCCAAAAAGTGTGCCCATCGAACCAATTAGTACTCCACTATTTCCCATTGCTGCCTGTGTGGCAACAACATCAGCACGATAAGTGCAGCAGCAGAAACGAACACGACGACGACGGACCCGGAGAGTGAAAAGAGGAAAGCTATTTCCGTCAGCGTGAAGCCTCGGCTGAGAAGAAACTGCGTCCCAACAAACGACTCCGTCGTGCATCTGTGCAGAGTCTCAAAAAGTAAACGACAGTAAACATCAGTCAGAAAGCCTCCACAAAGCTCCTAAGACGTACCCAACCGGGCAGCCATACACACTATGAAGAATCTCAGCGCCTTCGGGGCGCACTGTTACATACCCTGCACACGAGCAGCCCAGCCTAAATGAACTCAACTGTTCAAGTGATCGTTCCTCCTGCTGCTGCCGATGCTGCTGCTCCTGCTGCTGCTGCTCTGCTCATACGCACATGAATATTTCATACTGCACAAAGAAAAGCTTACCGATGGTGGCAACACGTGGCAATGCAAATGCAAAACTTGAATCTTGAGTCCGCAGTGTCTCGCGCCGACGCAAAGCATCTGCGATCGTCCCCATAATTCCAAAATCCAAAAACAGGCTTAGCCCTAGACCCTAAGCAAAGCCGACTGAAATGGAAGGATCCGTATGCGCCGTTGGAGCTCTCTAATGCAAGTCCTGATACCAGTGCAGCACTTGCGACACCTGAAGCCTACAAAAGTAACCATGAGGCCTAAAATCTGAAAACGTGGGGCGCACCGCAGGGCAACGTCAGAACCTTCGCCGCACAAGTGCTTAGCAACGCCGAGTACATTCGAGATGCATCTGCCCCTGAAATGCTCCCTCAGGATGTCGTCGATCCTGCAGAGAGCCCCAGAGCAAGCAACGCGTGCGAAAGAAGAGAAGGCGTGCGTTTCCAGCTTATCCGTGCACCCAACCCCCAATTTCGTAACACCGGTGCCGCCACACTGCAGCTAGTATCAGAGTGAGACAGAAAAGCCAGCCGCTGTACTTTCTCCCTCCAACCGGTATCCAAAGCATTTCGAGGAAATGTGCAAGTACATTCTCCGCTCTATTTTGCCGTTGCAGTCTAAAAATGGTAAAGGCATATAAAGGCAGCACCAGCACCATTATGCAAACTAGGTGGAGCACCCGGGGGCAGCAACAACCCTGACTTGGAAATCCAAACCCAAGGTTACTACGGCGTCCAGCCGCTTCCAGCCATGTTACACAAGTCATCGCTAGCAGCAGCAGCACCCACTTCTTCATGTTCGGCCCCCCGCCTTCCCCCAAAGACTGGGCAACAGCGAAGAAGTCCTCGGCACTGCCATCCTCAATGCAGCGCAGGATCCTTGGCCTCACTCCTCGCGTGGCAGCGCGGGTTGCCTCCTTCTGTGTAACCTTAGTAGTCGCTGCCGCCTGTGCTAATGAAGGCCCTCCCGCCTTAATCGCCTTGCGTGTGCCACCACGTCTTTCCTCTGCCCCCTCTTGCTCCTCTCCAGCCCCTGGTGCTGCGAATCGGCAGCCGTATTCAAAGAGCTTCTTGAAAAAACCCGGAATATGCGGCCTGGGAAGACACTTCCGCAGACACTTAAGCAAAGCACTAAACCCAAAGCCATAAGCACCTTTTCGGGCCTGCCCCTCTCAAGTCTCTTCTCTTACTCTATGCCTACCAAAATAATCTGGATGGTCAACCTGAAGCCCCAAATCCTAAACTGCCCTCCCAACAACTGTCTGGGGATTCATGGTAGAACTGCAAAGGAAGCCCTGATAGCGCAAGGTTTGAAAGAGGGACTCACATGCGTAGGGGGCCTTTGCACCTGATATACTTGACCAGCGCCACTAGAGAGAAATCCGCAATGTCCATTCGCAGGCGAACTGGAGGCACTGGGAGAACCGCCTCGCAGCCACTGCTGTCTCCGGGTTTGGCGCAGCTCGCAGCGACGCCACAGGTCGCAGGGGTCTGGCTAGCAGTGGCCTCTGGAGCGCTTCCAGCAGCAGCTGCGCCAGCTGTGCGCGCGCATGCTGTGCAGGCCAGCGTACGCGTAGCTGGCCATGTGGTTTCCAGCTCTCCAGCCAGTGGATTTAACATGCTACTGTTCTCCATCGCTGTTTCCGCGGCTGTGGCAGCAGCAGCCTTGCGTCGCTCAGCAGCAGCAACAGCAGCAGGATGCAGCGGTCGGGGGGCATTGGGATTGCGAAACGTCTTGTCCTTGGCCTCCTTGCAATAACGCCGCGCCTCACGGTCGACGACAATGCAGCGAACGCCTCTGTGCCGTTTTGGAGCCCCCAGAGACGCCCTTTCCGATTCCTTTGGTACATGCGGGCAACCTGCTGCTCCCGATGCAGATGCTGCCGCTGCTGCTAAAATTGGTGCTGCTGCTGGCTCGCGCGGTGCAGTCACCGCAGCAGCAGCTGCTGACCAGCAGCAGAGCCACCGCGTCAGGTCGCCTTTGCCTGGAGACAATCAGCGGCAGCACATCGACTCTGAAAACTGCCCACAGCAAAGAGCAGCGGGTGCAGGTGGACACGCGGAAGGGGAATCCAGACTGGGGAGGAAACAGTCTCTACGCTGACCAGGAAGTGCCCATATGCTGTTCTACCGACACCTGCACACTTCTATTTAATCTGCACCCATCAAGTTATCCACTTCAGCATATCCGACATTTTTCAATATGCGACATGTGATGCGACTGTACACCGTAGAGCAGTGTGGACAAGTGCTTTACATAGGATGTACTGTTCTTCTAGTTGGTATTTCGGTTCTTGTGCGAAGTTATATCACCGTCAGCTTTTCCACTGGGACGTAAGATACAAATGTAAACATGCATGTGTCGGTACACCGCGTGTGCAAGTTCAGATCCCGCTCAGCATTTAAAAAGCGCTTAGCTCACTGTTGAGCCGCTACGCATCACATATGCATGAAAATGGATACACAGAGAGCACGACAGCTGCGGGTTTTCTCTATACTGGGATACAGCTCAGTCAACAGATTCACGTCCGCGTCATCACTAGGGTGTACGTGCAATGGAATACAAAGGGAAGCCAAAGACGGTGGAGCGGAAGACTCACCAGCCCCCAGTTCTACGATAAGTGTTTCGTCAATGCTTGAATAGTGCAGGTGGTTGTGCAGAAGACACAGAGCCAAGAGCTGTAGCAGCTGCTTCTGATGTTTATTAAATCGCTTCTGCAGGTGTTGCAGCACCTGCAACAGTGCGGCTGATCGATCTTGTTGAGGCACCAGCAAAGCATTCTTCAAGTCGGCTTCCACCGATGCTAAGGGAGGCCCCTTCGTTGCTGCAGTACCCGTGTCCAGCGGCACTTTGCATGCATCTGCTGCTGCTCGCAGCAGCAGCAACGGTTCTTCTTCGCTTTTGCTATCGCCCCCTTCAATCCCTCTGCTGCAGCAGTTGGATATGAATAGTGAGGCAGGTAGTTTTCCCAGAGGCTCCCACGGAGCCAACCCAGCTGCCACTGCTTTCGTTGTTGCTGGGGCCCTTGCTGCTGTCGTTGCTGCTGCTACTGCCTCTATTGGGGGGTTATTCTTTAAATACGACAGGGCATATCTGTAAGCGTCGGTTATCTTGGCCTCGAATTCCGAAGTGAGGGCAGCTGCTATCTCCGGGCTGTCCACGTAGTTCTCATGCTGCTGCTGGTGCTGCTGCTGCGAATGTTCCTGCTGCTGCTGCTGTTGTTCTTCCGGATTGTCAGGCTTCTGCCGCTGTGGTAAGTTAGCTCCGGGTTGCATGAAGGGCAGACAGTGCGAGAAGGCGATGTCTCTTGCCTTCGTGCACTTCTTCAGGTGGGCCTGGAGCCGCTGGGCGTAGATGGAGTGACTGCTGTCCATAGGACACGCAATCCGTTTCCCATGCCTGCCGCTGTTGATACGGTTGCGGCTCAAGACCTCGCCCTCTGGCGCTGCTGCTGCTGGACCTGATGCTGCCGCTCCTTTTGCTTCTGCTGTTGCTTCAGAGGCTGCCCTTGCTGCTGCTCCAGATGCTGCTGCTTCGGCTGTTCTCTCATCCATTGCAGTTCCATACGTTACTTCTGATGCTGTAGTTGATGATGAAGGGCTGGCACGTGCTTCAGTAGCAAGGGAGTTGCTGCTGTGGGGGGAACCCTCCACTCCAGACTTTGGTCTCTTCATGGGGCCCCCCAGACACTCGCCTCGGGCCCCTAAAAGTACTTGAGTATCAGTAGAAAGGCCCCCAAAGCCATCAATATCCGGCACTGGCACAGGGATCCCTGAGCTCTTGGGGTTGCCCCCTTCCTCTGCAGGCAGGAGCATCGACGTATGTTGCATGTAGTACACCTTGACGCATGAACCCGAAGTCTAATTAAATCCTCAAGAATGTGTTCCAATAACATTTCATGGCTCCTATAACTAAACGGAATAGGGCGAGAAGAATAGAGCAGTTGCTGGGGTGAACAGATCGTAGTCGTCCGGTGACGACAGGGTCGGGGAATGATGCGGAGGTAGTTTAGAGGGAAATTCTTCTGTTAGGCGAAAAACGAATAACTTAGATTTTTTCTCAGTGGCATTTACTGTTACTCCCTCCTGGCCGGGTATTTTTCAGAAAACCGAGGCGTTTACATGAGACTTTTCAATCAAAGCTCTTGCTTGGTGGGACGAGTGAATACCATTTGTAAAGGTTTTCTGGTTCTTCGCGACAATCCAAGGGGCATGTCACTGCAGGGACGCACGCTGATGAAGCATGGCCTGTGCGAAGTTCGAACTTTGGCATCACTAAGCGACATGCACGCACGCAGAAGTACAACAACTGTATACAATATTAGTCCACACAGCGAAAGGGGCTCGGCTGCGCTTGCTTGTGAATGTGCCTTGCAGCATTAGTTGCAACGGTCTGCGCTGCAACTCATATCAGGCCGCTTCCTCTCCCCCAGCGACAGTTCCTTGGTCCGCTGTGCTCGGAATGTCTAGGTCGCGTCAGCTGCTTTTTCGGAACTTTTAAGTCTTTCGCCTCGATCGCAGCTCACGATGCCCTTTGGAAAAGATCGCGGACTCTCGTTACACGCTGAAGTTTCTGTTCGCGATAAACGCGAGGAAACCAGGAACCGGCACAAAGCATTAATGGCGAGCGAGTTGATTGAGCGCAGTTGGGCCGAGAAACAACGCACGCCACCGCAACTGCATGTTTGTTACTAGGTGCCAGCCTGCAACTGATCAACTATATGCTAGCGCATTGCAAAGAGCCCTGAATTGGAACGCAACAAATAGCATTGGTCAAGTGCGCATTGAATGCGCACAACACAGTCAACCGTGGCAGCCAGGCACTCTGCCTTTTTCAGCGAAAACACCAAGGCTCAAGTGCTAAGGCTTGAGGACGGAAAATGCTCAATTTTGGTGTGCCCGTTCAGATGCAAGGCTTTAAAACCACTGCGCAGACACCCGGCTCGGCGGCGACACATTGTACGCATATCTTATGCACATGCATATGTACCAAAAATGATGTGCATGTGCATACACAGATAAAGGCTTGCTCCTGTGCAAAGAAATGCTGATGGTCGTACTAGGAGACTGAATGCGCACATATCCATTGCCTATTACATGTGTTTCTGTGCACAGGTCATCAGAAACGGAACAAGCGCGAACACTCTGCTGCAGGGGTGTACACACAGTCGCGCAGCTGCGAAGCAGAGCAGGATCGAACTTCCGCAAGATGCGGAGGTCAGTTAAAAAAGGGACCTGCCCCAACATCTGTGACAGCAGCAGCAACACCAGCAGTAACACTAGCTGCTGCTTTACTTGTTGCAGACTGGGACCCCGCGCTTTGCTAGCCCAAACAACCACTCCTCTGTCCCCTCCCCTTTAAGGCGTCAGAGGCAGCTGTCGCGCTGCAGTGGCAGGTGCTACTGCAGCAGCAGGGCTTGTGTTAGGCATCGCTTTCCCTAGAGGGGAAGGCTTTAAGAATGCTCCCGTGCTCGGTGAGGGCCTCGTCCAAAGCAGCCTCGAGAGACTCGAGGGAACTTATCTTCTGCAGCTTCTCAACAGAAGCAAGTGACACTACGGGAGAATTTATAGAGGGCTTTGCGACGCTTCGCGTGCTACAATCCACTGCGTCGGGAAGAAATACTGCGAAGCGAAACGCAGAACCCTAAACTCCTCAAAATAAAAACCCTACTCATAGTGTGCACTGCTGTTCGCCGTCCTGTCAAGCTATGCGTCTTCTTCCACATATGACTCTGCCCTATTTGTTGCTGCAGGGCTCCGTCAACAGATAGCATGCTTGTATGGATATCCGCATGCTTACCCGTGCATGCGGTGGCGTATTGACATAGTATATATATATATATATATATATATATATATTTCCTTACATATTCTTAGCAACAAACACACCTGTCTTAGGCACATCCGCACTTGACAGCTCCCCGTGAAAATGCTTCCGTGCAGTGCCAGCCACTGACAAGGCGAGCGGCACGAGGGACTCAGCCTGGGAGACTGTATCCTCCCTGCACGCTCCGAAAGCAGCAGCAGTAGAAGCAGCAGCAAAAACGCACAACGTGCAGACGGCGATTTTTAGAGCAGCAACGCAAGAGGGAGAAACGAGAAGCCGGGAACAAATATTGAACCCAGCGCTGCTCCACGTGTTTCAGCAGGTTGCTGCGGGTATACACGCACCTGGTTTCCGAGCTGCAGCAACAGCCACCAGAAGGGGAAGCGAGCTGCAGTCGCCGGTAGAGCAGAGAGAAAGCAGGGCCTTGCGGCAGCAGCATGCCTAGACCTGCGGGATAAGGGCAAACAGGCGAAGATGGAAAGGTGCGCCTCAATACGAATCTTCGCCTCCCCACGCCGTGCTTTCCCGCCTTGGCAGAACATCTGCGGGGAAAATTGCTGCATGCATAGCCCCAGGCGTGAACTTAGAATAAAGGCTACAAAACTACAACCTAAATGCAGCTCTGAAGAGGCAAGCACGCCGGAACGCTGACCTCGAATTGCGGAAATAAGGTGCGGATCTACTGGCTGCTGCAGCAGCCGCATGCGCAGCGAAGCAAAGGGTTTGCTCTCCAGCAACAGGACCAGCTGCTCCAGCTGCAGCATATCCAGGTCAGAGAGAGAATCTTCGCTGCTGCTGCGGCAAGCGACAGAGGCAGAAAGACCGTGAAGACAAACTGGCTAAAAGCAGCGCCAATTCCTCTACCTCCCCTGAAAAGCAACCGTTTGGGGTGCGGGAAACGGGAACCGGATGAACACTCAGCGCTGCGTGAATCGCAGAGACATAAATGCGTTCAGAAGCATTGTGCCATGCGCGAAGAGATTCATACCCAGAGCAGGGTGAGTGCGAACAACCGCAATGCTTTTTTCCAGAGACACCAAGGTGACTCTATCTGCACATCTGTGATGGATCAAAGCATCGACTACTTCAGGAGCACTTCCCTTTGCATGCAAATCTTTAGTGGAAACTAATACGCGCACAAAACATAGTGCAGCATGCTGTCCCAGTCCATACAACCCACGAACCCATGCCTGCCCCCAGCAAACGACCCCACGAATGCCCTCAGCGCCTCACAGCATCTTCACTAGCTCCGCAGCAACGTCATATTTGCCCCCATAAAGAGAAAGCGCTATCAGCCACACCGTGTTGTGCGCCCTAGTGCAGCATACACACACAAACAGTAAGTAAGAAGAGCAGCAGCAGCAAGAGCATGTGCGCCCAGAACCAGAATTTCCTTTTTCATGCACTCCAGGGGAGCGCAGTCGAAGTGCTCAGAAGTCTAACACCCCGCAGACAAACAGCATGACGGTAAGTAAGAATTCCATGGAGACAGAGGTGCAGTGCGCACTAGACGAAGCTGCTGTTAGTGCTGCTCTCTCTTTCGCTCCTGCTGCCACTGCCTGTGCCGCCACTGGTGCTGCAATCGCTGCTACCGTTGCTGCTGTTGCTTTGACAGGACCCACCAGGTAGGCAACAAAGCCTCAAACATTTTGTTGTCATCTGCGCGATAAGCAACGACAAGCCGCACGGCTGCCACGATACTAAACCGTAAACCCTAAACCATAACCCTCATGAGTGCTGTCTAGTGTGCCAATCAGTGGCTACCGCTTATGAAGAGAATCACTCCATCCAACATCAGAGTTGAATGGAGTGTTCAGCTCAAGTTGCTGCTTTGCACCTCTTGCCGGTGCTGCTGCCGCTCATCTCGTTAGTCTTGCTGCAACCGCTGCTGCTGCTGTTCCAGCAGCAGCTTCCGTCGCAGCTACGTTTACCTCTGCGCAGCTCCTGACGAATGGCTTGCGTTTCCTGAGCGGAGTCACATGCATTACCCAAGGTCAAAATTAAACACTGAAAAATCCTAAGCCGCGAATCTTACGCAGTACCCGCGGCGACTCATAGACTCAGGGGCCGAGAGGGCAGCGTGTTGAGGAGTGCATGGCTACCTTGGCGCCGTGAGAGGCGTAAGACGTACCTTGGCACTAAACAGATCGATGCTCAGGGCCTGAACTATCTGGTGCAGGAACTGCAGCGTTTGCTCTGCTGTGCCGTCGGGGGGTCGGGGCTGTGTAGCTTGTGGCTCCTCGTCTCGAGATCTCGGGCTATGCTCTCCAGTTGCCGCTATTGAGGCTACGGCGGCTGCGGGTGTCGCTGTTGTTGCTACTGCGGCGCTAGAGCACCCCTCTGGTGAGGCTTCAGCACAGGAATCTCCTGGTGATCGCGTTCGCGCAGCAGCAGCTGCTGCGGCATAGTGACGCTCCATCTGCTTCGCCATGTGTATGTACACCTCACAGGGATTCCTCATGGTGCACAGCTGCCGCAGAACAAAGTGGCCCCGGCTGTCCTACGACACAAACCATAAACCACAAGGCCAAGCATTGATATTTAAACCCTACCTGACACCCTGAACCCTCAATCGTCATCTGTAACCCCAGCAACCAAGCGCTCAGCCCCAGAATCAGCAGAATTAGGCGGCGGTGATGGTGACAGCTGGCAGAGGACACCTTAAGTCACGGAAGGACTTAGTGAAGGCCATGCAGCTGAAGGCTTGTAAGACAAAAGACCTTGGGTTCTAGAACCTTAACAATGCATGGGTGTACAGCCAAAAGCAGACACCGGGGACTGACAAGGAGACAACGATTCGAGCTGAAGAGGGACAACAGCTCTTCCGACACCATGCGGAGATTTGCGTCGCCGCGCTGCACAAAACGACTGAGGACCGACAGCGACATTCGCAGCAAGTGGTTGGATGATGCCACTGCTGTCCGTGTTGCTGCAGCTGTTGTTGGTTCTGGCGTGCCCGACCCGGACCCATCCGTTGGCGTCCCCGTTGACTGTTGTCGGCTCGGTGCCTCCTGTGAAGGCGCTGCTGGTCTTTCCGCTGGTGTCGTTGATGCAGCAGTAGTAGGAGCAACCGTTCCCTCGGCTGTCAGTGCTGTGTGCAGCACTGCAGCTACTAGGGGCTGCTGCTTCTCTAGTAAGAGGCTTTGGGTATCCTCTTCGCTCAGATCTCTGCTGTGCTGCTGCTTCTTCAGAAAACGCTTGCTCAATTTCACGCCGTTCTGCTCCTGACTTTCCTGCCGTTGCTTCTTCCGGTCCTCTTCGCTCCCCACAAGTAACAGGTGCGGCTTCTCTATCAGCATCAACTCCATCCACTGGAGACACAAAGGGCGCACGTCGCCGCCTGCAGCAGCAGCTGCAGCGCCAGCATTTTCTGCGGTCGCCGCTGCTGCTGCTGTTAGTCCTGACGGGGTGTACGTACACAAGTACTCTGCGGCGCTCCTCACGAAGTCAGAAAGATCTAGTGCAGCAGTCGAGACTAGCACCTGTGCAGACTCGCGCAAGCGCATGCGCTCAAACCAACCGGTTGCAGCAGCAGCTACTGCAGCAGCAGCAGCTACTGCTGCTGCGGCAGCAGCCGCCACAGCAGCTGCATGTGGAAGGAGGAGAAACCCAACACACAGCAGTAAGTGCAACATCCGCAAAGAATTGAAGGCAACGGGATCGCATTGTGTACGGGAGAAGGCCCCACCCTGGCGATGACGTGCGCATGCACTTCTGCGCCCATTCGAGCGATCTCTGAATGACCAAGAGCATCAGACAATACTAACGAATGCAGCAAATTTGCCTTGACGCACGTCCCCCTTCTGCTACTTGAATTGATGCTGCAGTTGCCACTGGAGTTGCTGCTAAGGCTCTGTAAAAAGAGGAGGGAGGTGGTGGTTTGATTACCTTCTTCAGACTCCGCGGCGCAGCGCAGTATGCTCTGCAACATTCTGCAGCCGAGTGGCTGCACCATTGACCGCATCTCACAGACAAACGCATCCACTCCAAAACCTAATCAACAGGTACTGCACCCCGAAACCCTGCTTGACCGACGGACGTCTACGGGCTGGACGGATGGCTTATAGTTTAGGGTTATTTGCAGAGACAACAGAACACTAGAGACCTCTTCTGTACCTTGAGGTGTTTCTGAACCTCCAAATGCCATCGAGTGGCCGGCGTTTGAGGCAGAAGGTCTTCCTGCTGTTGCCGATGCTGTTGCTGTCCTTCGTCTGGCAGCAGCAGCAGCAGCAGCTCGTGCAGCCACACCAACGCCGTCAACTGGGTAAAGGAACTGTTGCTGCTATCGCTGCACCGGAGGACCACTTCTGCAGTCTGTGTCACTACGATTGGATCCGCTGGGGCAACAAAGCAGTAACATCAGCAGAACAAATGCACGCGGCTGGCATCCACCGGCAACAGCGGCAGTAGTACCCTAACAACAGCAGCGAGAGGGCTAAACTGCACGATCCCGAAGCCGCATCGACAGAGCAGAGTGGAAGCCAATGCACGCATGGCAAAGACGACGGCGGCACCAAGAAAAATAATTGCACCAAGTCCACCGCTGTAGCAGCATTAGAATCATCAGCAGTAGCAGCAGCAGCAGCAACAGTAAATGCTGCAGCCCGTACTGTCAACTGGATCCGACCGTAGATCCTCTAAAAAGTTGGTGACGCACAAATCCGCAGCTTGGCGAATGTCTCTGCAGCAAATGCATGCCACCATCCACTGCAGCTGCTGTTGATGCAGCTACTGCTCGAGATGCCGCTATTGCTGTTGCTGCATTGGAGATTATATGGCTCACCTATGAGAGTCTCCAAGTAGCTGCAGCAGTCCTCCCAAAAACAGTGGCAGATATTGCAGCATATCCACCCCTAGGAAGCGCCAGTGGCAGTAATGGCGGGGCAAATAACAGCGCAGGTAGGACACACGGAGAAAACAGAGCGCCTCATACTTCCATGATGCAGAGACAACTTGTGGTTGCTGCTGTTGCTGATGCTGGAGCGTTCTGCTAGGGACGGAGTTGCACAGGGCCCTACATAGTCTGGCTGTTTACTGATTACAAAGCCTACGGCAATACGGTAGTAACGAACACCACTAGCAACTGCAGTGGCAGAAGCAGAAGTTCACCTGTGTTCGATTCCAGCAGAGAAATCCACGAAAGCTGAACGCCGCACAAACACGGGTCTGAGTGCCCCATTGTTAAGCCCTCAACCACAAACACTAAACCCGAAGCCCAAAGTGCCAAATTATTGCCACTCGAGAACTTTCTCTGAACGCAGGCAGCCTTGGACTCTACCTTCAAGCCCCAAACCACGGACCCCAAGCACTCAAGCCCAAACCCTACGCCCTCAGCCCCTGCTTACCGCCAGGAGTTTGATGTAAGGGTTACGGACGAGGAGGCGTTCGACAAGCAAGTGTATGAAGGCTGGCGTGATTGGCCCTTTGTTTGCTGCTTCTGCCTTTGCCGCTGCCACAGAAACCCCTGCAGCGGCCGCCGCTGTAGCAGCGGCAGCCGCTGCTTCTGCTGCTGCTGACGCTGCGGCTGCCGTCTCTTCTTTCAACAGGCTGTCGACGAAGCCCACGCCCTGACGCACCTCGCGGTCCACGTCACCGCAGAGCTGTCCATACACCCCAGAGCAAAGAATGGGGCTGGGCGATGAAATCAAGCAGCCAGCAGAAACAAACTACAATGCAGCGGCAGACAGCACGACGTACTGAACTCAAAACATAGTGAGAGGGACACAAAGGGGCGCCTTGTCAGGCAGAAGGACAGAGCAAGGAAGGCAGATGAAGACAGAGAGAGCAACGGAGGCACGATAAGGAAGCGAATATAACAGCTGTACGTCCATACCTTGCATAGTCCATCGAATAGCTCTGGCAAAAACTGCAGCCACAGACCTCTCGCTGCCTTCAGTAAATTGAACAGACTCTGTCAACCGAAGCACAGGCAAAGTCGTTGTGTACAGACAGCTCAAAACAGCCGCGGCAGCAGCAGCTGCCGCGGCTGCTGCCGCAGCCACTGCTTCTGTTGCTGCTGCTGTGGCGGCGGCTGTCAGGGATTTTCTCTCACCTCGCAGGCGTAGTAACGTACGCGAGGGTCAGGGTCCCCAAAGGACTTCAGCAGAGGCCGCAGCAGCAACAGAAAGCAATTCTCCAGGCCGCCAGACTATACATACGCATCAGCAAAAGCACTCAGCCCCAAGTCATGCCGACGTGAGGCTCCACAGCAGAAAAAGACAAGCTATGCGTGGGGTGTCCGCAGCCAGAAACCCTGGGTTGTAAACGCTAGAGCATAATCCGTGCAGCCTGATAGAGGACAGACACGAGGTGAGCATACAGTACGCGAAGGAGGACGCCGAAGGCAGCAATGCAGCCTTCGTCTGAAGCATACGAGGAGGGACAGCCATAAGGTGAAGTTTTATTTACTATTATATCTAAATCTTAATAAAATATCCACACACGTTGTGCAGATCCAGTTTTAATTAAATCTGTCGTAATGAGATTGGATTCTATATCAGTAAGTCAATCAGTAGAATACTGAAAACTAACCGAAGCCAAAAAGAACAGAGCAAAAGCACGCATATATACTCACATAAATCAGGTCAGGTACAACCGGCTACCAAGAGACGGATGTCTGGAAAGACACGGTATCGTGCATACACATAAATGGAACGATACAAGCAAAAGCAGGTGCAAGCATTCGCATGTGTTGCTAGCGATGTAAGTAAGCCGCAGATATTTCAGTTCTGCTACAACTATTCAATGGAAACCGCTTTTGCATTGACTCCACAGCGTAGCTCTGTAGCCATTTGAAACGCTTAAGACTCTCTGAATTCTAAATTGTTTTCAGCTTCGCACCTCGAAGGCCAAGCCCACAGCGGCAACCCCTAAAAGGCCTCCCTTGCGGATGTTGGCGATGGGGCTCGATAAGAAGTCCGCCGTAAGCGCAGAGATTGCTTTCTGCACCGTCGCCTGAGTCGCCTGTTGATGCTGCTGTTTTTGCTGTTGCTGCAGTTGCTGTTGCAGCTGACCTGGAGTCGGCGTGTCGGCCGCGGCATCCGGCGTTGCTTCGGGTGCAGCAGCGTTGGCTGCCTCCAGGACCTGCTGCTTGATGAGTTGCTGCAACGCCTGCGCTGCAATTCTGCGTTTCTCGAAGCTCTTGTCCGCTAATCCTCGGCAGGTTTCCTTCCCAAAGAGAGGACCCGCGGTGGGGAACTCGGCAGAGGAGCTGTACATCATCTGCTGTGCCCATTGGGCTCTCAACGCCTAAATTCCAAACAATAGGCCCTAAGGCCTAACACCAGTGGATAACCTCTGTGCTGAAGCCGCCTTGGCTACCTGGGCCCCGTTCGCTCTGCCTAGACCCTCAATTTCGCACGAAAACTCCAAGCCTTGCAACCCAAATCCTGGATCATAGCCGCCACAGAGGATCTCTGGTGGCACCTGTGGGATAGAATCTCAGCAATAAATGCATTATACGCTTTATTTCAACTTTTTAAGAACCTCCGCTTTTTGTTGAGGCCCTCATTCCTTGGGGCCCTGTCGTGGGGGCCCTATGCGCTGAGGGGACTGGGGCCCCTGGCGTTGAGACAGAATCATCAAGACCCCAGATCGCACGTTGAGAAGCAACATAATTGTGAAGTCTTTATCACAAACGTTGAATCAATATCCCATGAGTGTGTTCTTGCGAAGTGGACATGCACGGCAACCGCGATGGGGGCCACGGCGACAGCGAGTAGAGCCCAGAAAAGCCTTCTACCTTCCGCACAAACTTGGCTGAAAGTCGCCACAATTGGCTTTGTAAGAAATAGCAAGGATATACTCTTAACCATTCACCTAAAGAATAGACAAAGCTTCGATGAATCTGATAATGCCAGTCATGAGCGCGCCTTGCACAGACGCGACCAGGCGGAGGCACAGGAGTACGCCGGCAGCAGCCCCATACCCTTCGCTTGTGCTCTTGTTCATTTCACTTTTGCTACTACTGCTGCTGCAGCAACGGCACCAGGCAGCGGCATCTGCAGGGGCAAAGTGCCCCTTCAACAGCACTATCAATCGTGCCCCCGCCCTTTGGAGCGCTTCCCCTGGATTTTTACTGCCAGCTGCGCGGTGGGGCATGCCTGCATGCAGCAGCAGCAGCAGCAAGCGCAGCAGCAGGAGCAGCATAACCCGAGACTGTACCCGCAGGAGTGGCAGTTCCGGGGTTGACTGGCACTTCAATAACAAGCGGAATTTCGTCGGAGTGCGATCATTGGCACCAAGCAATTCACACAACAGCTTCCTACAGGAGCCGCAGCATCACGACGATGAGATACCTCAGATCGACTTGGCTCGTGCGCTGCAGTTACTCGAGGCTGCTAGTTCAGGAGGACCCGCCTTTGGCGCGGAAGCGGCCATCTGGGGCCCCCCAGGTAACGGGGCCCCCCAGAATAACTCTTCCCAACGGAGCATGGGAGAGAAGAAGCGGCTGGCTGTTATATTCAACTGCATGCTGCATGCATGTGAGCGGCAAGGAGACGCCCTGGGGGGCTTTGAGGTGTACAGACAGATGAGAGCCACGGGGGCCCCGCCAGATGAGGCAACCTTCCACAGCGTTGCTGCTCTCATGGAAAGAGCAGGGGAGTATAACGGAATGCTTAAGGTAGGGTTTAGGGGTCAGGGTATAGGGTTCTATGGGATGTAGATGCCGTAGAGCCCTTGCACTAGCTTATTTGGCTTAGGGCGTAGGGTTTGGGTTTTAGGGTGTCTGCGCAGCTCCTGGAGCACATCGAGGCAGAAGGTCACGAGCCTTCCTTGGCGGTACTTGGCCTTGCAATTAGCTGCTGCAGCAAAGCGGGAGCTGCTGATGCTGCTCTGCAGCGAGCGCAGCAACTGCAGCGGCGAATCCGTGCTGCTGCAGCTGCGGCAGCCCCGGCAGCAGCAGCGGCAGTGGCTGCTGCTAGCGCTGGGCTGCAGCACGAAGCGGATGCAGTGGCAACAGCAGCGGAATTGTTGCAGCAGGCCTTGCCTTCGAGCGTGTATTCAGCTCTTGTTTGCTGCTGCGCTGCCACCGGCAGATACGACAAGGCTGTCGAACTGTACTCGGAGTTTGCTGCTCTAAGGCAGCAGCAGGAGGTGCTACAGCAGCGCGTCGCCCAACAGAAGCAACAACAAAGGCAGCAGCAACAGCAACAACAGCAACGGGTGGACCAAGATCCGAAGGAACTAGAGCCTGAAGTGCTGCAGCACCTGCAGCAGCTTTTACAGCGGGACTCGTACCTGCCAACAGTAGCAGTAGTGAACGCAGCTATTGCTGCAGCTGCAGCAACAGGAAGGCTGCAGCTGGCCATGTCTATCTACAGGCGTGATTTGCTTCAGTTGCAGCAGCAGCAACAGCAACATGGCCAGGACCAGCTCTCACAAGAAATATTCGGGAGCTGCAGTGCAGCGGAGGCCCACGCCCCCAGCACGCAGACTTTCTTGCTGCTGCTGACTGCTGCTGCAGCGCAGCAGAGCAGTAGCACTGTAGACGTGCTACTGCGCGACTTTGAGGATCAGCAACAGCAACGACAACAGCAGCAGCTGCAGCCTCTCGATGCTGCTGCAGTCTACGCAGCAGCGGCAGAAGGGCTTGCTGCGGGGGGCAGGTGGAAGGAAGCGCTGCAGCTGCTTTTGCATTCCCATGCTGACCGGCAGCAGCAGCAAAAGCAGGCTCTCCAGCAACTGCAGCATCTGATCAGTACGCAGCAGCTCCTCGGGCAGCAGCAGCAGCAGCAGCAGCAGCAGCAACGGCAGCCGCTGCTGCTACAGACCTTTCCGCCATGTGGCAGTGTCACACCATACCTCGCCATTCTGCGGTGCTGCACTGCAGCAGCAGCGCCAAGAGAAGCGCTTGGCCTGCTGCGGCTTCTACAGCAGCGGCATCAGCAGCAGCAGGAGCTGTTTCTGCTGCAACAAGAACTGCAGCAGCAGCAAGACTCCTTAGCGGATGCGGTGGCAGCCGTCCCCCCTGAGTTCCCTTTAAGTGCATATTTTGAGGTAATGGCAGCAGCAGCAGCAGCGGCAGATTGGCAGCTGTTGCTCTCGGTTGCTGCGGAATTTGAATCTCCCAAGGTTCAGCAACAAAGCGCTGCAGCAGCAGTAGCAACGGCTGCTGCAGCTGCTGCTGGCACCAGCAGAACCACCGGAGACCCCAACACACGTTCTGCTGCTGCTGCTGCTACACGGCGTGACGGGGTAGCGGCAGCAGCTGCTTCAAGAGCTTCTGCTGCACTGTCACAGCAGCACATTCCCCTGGAGCACAGGGTGCGTATTGCAGCCCTAAAGCTTAAAGCGCTGCTTCAAACTGGCAACAACGCTGCAGCAGAAAATCAGAGGCATGAACTGCTGTTGCTACTTGAGGACAGCAGCAACAGCAAGAGCGCATTGGCGCAGGCGCGGTCGGCTGCTATGCTGGCCGGGCAGCAGCAGCAGCAGCAGCAAGAACCCGAAGATGATCCTCTTGCTAGCGATGCCTTAAATCTCGCGGAGAAACTACTCGGCCCACTGCAGCAGCAGCACCACCAGCCCGGAGGTCCGCGGCTGCAGCTGCACGAGCGCCAGGCCCGGCAAGAGCTGCAGCGGCAGCAGCACCAAGGAATGATACTGCAACAAATCCGGCAACACGAACAACAGCAGCAAAAGCAGCAGTAGCCATAAGGTTGGGTGTTGCTGCTGCAGCAGCAGCAGGCCGAAAGCTCCCCAGCAGAGCGCCGCAACAGTGGAGCGCTTGACGCGTAGGCAACGCAAGTAGCCAACGAAGTAATGTGGGCTATAAACGAATATGCAGAGGCAGCAGCAGCAGTGGTTCCTGCTACCGCTACTACTGTTGTGAATTAAAGCAGGTGGCGCCGAAGGGATTGTTTCAGTGCAGTAACGAAGTCCCTAGGGGCGACTCTAGACGTGCGCAGAGGTTGCGTTACGCGGTCATGCCCGGTTTGTCTTTGCTGCTTTACCGTTCGGTACGCATTTTTCCTTTCCGTTGCTTTTGTTTTGTCTGGCCCTTGTCTCTGCTTTGGAGTCTTGTCTCCTCCCGTAGCGTTCTGTTTGTGTCCTTCTGTCGTCCCCTTCCTGCCTCCCATCTCTTTGCACATACTTCTTTTCTGTGCGTTACTTTGTCCCATGCATTCCGTCGGCGCGCATGTCAGTGCAGCTTCCTCTTGATCTCTTAACTGTGCACACTTTTTGTTTCTACTCGCCGGCTGTACGAACTGCTGCACGATGGCTGTAGTCGGAAGGTGCCTGTGGCTCATGTTTCTCCCCTTTGCAGTTTTTGTCTCTCGCTGAGTCAAATAAACCCCATGGGAGCGCCTGCTCCCATGGCCCCACTCAGCGGGCTGACAAACCTATCTATGTAGACAGCTGCGGGCGGAAGTAGTGTCAAATTCTATATGGAAGCAGCTATCCAAGTGCAACACCAAAGTTTCTCTCTCTATGTGCTTCATTTCCCTTTCCGCGTGAATAGACGAATGAACAAGTGACGGATGCTTTCTTCTAAGAAAAAGGACGTAACCCGTCATAGTACACGTGCGTTCCGGATGTACGTACAGGTCTGTTCCTCTTTCGGCATGCTTGCCTATAAGCCAACTCAATGCATTCGTTTGCAGTTCATTACGAAGTGTGCATAGGCCACCACCGCACTGACTACTCCTGTGTCGGATCCAAAAGGCGTTTCAAGTACGCTCGTGCTGGCGCTCTGGTGTGCATGTACTCGTTCACCCACATCTTTGCACGCAAATGAACCCCCCACGGCAGTTCACGGCACTTGCAAGCATTCCTACATTCAAAACAGCGGCGGTAACTGCCGCAGACAAGTTGAACATTCATGTGGATGCCAAAATATGCCCTTGCGTTTGTGCAGAGCACGAAACCAGCCCACGCAAGTGCAGTGGGCATGGATTGCAGATGCGCACTGTACGTACTCCTTGGCTGCGCTTGGATCTGAATCCCAAATTGTTTCGCTATGTTTCTTGCTTCCTCTTCTTCCCTTGTACTTTACCAACGAGCCCCAACCGGTAAGAATGTTGTGGGCCGTTGCGGCAGCGCCGGCAGAGGCCTCGGCTGGCGTTTCTGCAAAACCAAGTGCAACACAAGAGAACAGAACCATATTATTTTTACATTTTACGTGTGAAACAAGACGCCGAAGCATCGGTGCCACATGCAAAAAAACAAACCCATTCGAACTGTACAGACAACCGCTCTCCATGATGACATTGCGCCGGAGTCCAGTACGCCCCCTCTATCGATATACGTTGAACACACACCGAAGGCAGCGGAACACTGCATTTACTGTTCAAAACGTAAGACGTGGGGCTTAAAGCTAAGTTTCTAGAGTTGAAATTTGCATTACTGAGAAGAAGATCTGCATTGTGTACACTTTCTTCTCCGCGTCCCACGCCGCGTGGTGTCGGGGGTCGTCTCTGTCAATTTCCATATTAGGGATTTTAAAGGCTGCGCAAACAAACGGAACAACGTAAAAGATTGAAGATGCTGTGTACTTATGCCATACAGCGGACAAACAGAACACCTCCAACAGTTTCGTGAACACCAATTTGCGCAGACAACATGCACACGCAGTGCGGACACAGAGCTAAAGGAGACAGGATATGTTGTTTCACAAACCTTCCACCCGCAATCTGCAGTTATAGTGCGTAACCCTCAACTTTTACGGCTGGCCCCACTCTACAGCCGAATACCCTTTCTGAATAGCTGAATGCCTAAAAACTAAAGCAAACGGCAATTTCTGGAGCCTCCGTGCCAAAAGGCGTACGATCGAACTAAAATATTGAACAATATCTCCTGAAGCTCTATACCCTAAGCCAGGCCTTAACTCCGTGGTCAAAAGTCTAAGCAAAACCCTGCTGCTGCAGGTGCTGCCCCTGCAGATGCTGTTGCGCATTAGGACCACCGGGGCGACGGACCAATTGTCTCGTAAGGCTCCGCAGCGAAGAGCAGAAATTGATAGTTTCCATCTGGGGGAGTTTCGACGCGCTGTTCAAATGCGGACATAAACCTGCGCAAAGCAAAGCGAAGACCAACCAGACGACGCAGGCAGCAGGGAGAAAGATGTAGCAAAGTTCCGTTCATGTGGATGAAGAACCACACAAAAGACCTCTCGGGCAAGCGCTAGAGCTGCTCAACTGCAGAAAAACAAACTCAAAAGGTAGAGCTTCGGGGGAAAAATGCAAGCAACATAGCCCCAAATCTGCACCGGGACGGGAGTCTCCTCCCACCATCTGTGTCTACCGTCCGTACACTCCAATATCGGTGAGCAAACAATCATGTACATGTTTGCATACACAAACGAAAACAAATAAACGCATGCAATAGCATGACACCTATCACGGGGCCTCAACAGGTGTCTGCTTCATGACAGAATTCTCGAGCGCTGCCCAGGCGGTGTTGCAGGAGCTCCTCTACAGATATTACGACACACAAATGCAGAAAAAGCCACGTGCAAGAAGTCATCTATGCGTACATGCACTCAGCCTTCCTACACGTATGGCACAGGCTCCTGTTCATACACCTGCTCATACGCCTGTGTATTTATCTGTGCATGCACTTACATCAATGCCCCTGTACACTGTGCGCGTATGTGCCCCGAAGGTGCGCATGCATCTGAATCTGTGTCAGTACCTGCAAATTTGCGCTGCTACGGAATCTGCTGCTGCTGCTACTGCTGAAACCTCAGGGGCTTGCTCTTGCTGGACGTTACCTGTGATAGGGCTTGGTACCCCTCACAATTTCCGGATACTCCACTTCACAAAGCAGCGCAAACTGACGCGTGCGCTCATCGCGCAGCTTCGTCACCCGGTAGCCCGGACGGCCAATGCGGACTCTGTCTGATGTACGCCCGGGGCCGCTGGATGTCTGCAGCAGCAGCAACACCAATTGAGCAGCAGCAGCATTCGAGCAGCACGAGCACCAGCAGCACCGGTAGTAAAGGCTGCCACAGTAGAGCTAGAGGGAACAGCAGCAGTAGTTAATCCAGCTACGGAAACGGCAGCAGCAAAACCAACACAGCACCTACAGCGGCCCACAGAGCAACAATTCAGAAGCCCGCCCAGCAGCGCAAGGGCCAGCAGCAACAGCAGGCAGCCCAGAAGCCCCAACCACAGCAACAGCAAGGTCAGACCAGCGCACCTTAAGCGGCATGGGGGCGACGACGGCATCTGCTTTTTCCTTAGCAAGCCTTCTGGAGAGGTTTGTCTGATGCTTCTTTCCCTGTGTGTGTGACAAGTAAGATCCCTCGTTCGTGTGCAGCGTCAAACACAAACGGCATTCGAACTGGCCTGAGCAGGAGCAGCATGCAACTAAAAGAACAAGACTAAGAGCAGTGACAGAAGCAACCGCAACAGCATCAACTATGGAATCAAAGAGAACAACAAACGACACAAATAGAACAGCAACAAAGCAGAAAGCAAGAGAACTACGACGGTGGCAGGGACTCTGCAAGCTCAGAATCGGCAGCAGCAGTAGCACCGACCACAATTGCAACAAGAACAACGAGGACGTCAGCAACCACAAAAGCATCGATAGCCACACAGCAGCACTAGCCAAAGCAGCCAAAGAAATAGCAGCAGCAGTAGACCACAAATGCACGTGAAGACGATACGAATACGTGTACAGTGGGGATTCGGGCGCGAATGCGCCTGGTGGAAGGAGCAGCGGTTCCGCATAGATTACACGACAACTTAAAATGCGCTGCACTGCTACGGTTGCTGCATAGATATTCCAGCCCCAATTGAAGCAGAAACGGCAGCTGGCCTTGTTTCCGCGGCTGCATACCTAAGTGGTTGCGCATGAAGTACGGGTCTTTGTTAAGGTCTATTGTCTCCAAGGCCAATCGACGGAGCCTTTCCTTCCGCTCGAGATTTACCTCCTGTAAAGGCACAAGAAGGCGCATCACCCAGTTGTGCGCACACCCACCTCAACCCATCTACTTATCGAATGGAGAGGAAGAAGCCAGATAGACGTGAGACAGCCCAGGACGCTGTCTCTGTTTCTGTTGCTGTTGCGGCTGCTTCTATTGCATTCCCTGCTGTTGTTGATGCTGTTGCTGCTCTATTCGTGAGTGCGCCAATGTGTCTGCCTGTCAGTGCTGCTCTTCAGCGCTCCTGACCTGCCAGGTGGCGGGGGCACCAGAGCCGAGCTTGTGCCCGACTCTGTTTTGGTAGTCCATATAAACCGACATTTTCGCCGTAGGTCAGAACCAGATCAATGCTGTTGCCGCTGCTGCTGCTGCAGCCGTGCGGATGGGTCCTATTGCAGTCCTCCGAGGGCCCCGGCAGCTGGCAGTGGGACATAAAACGATTACAGCAAAATAAAGTTAATTAGGACAGATCGGAAAAGGTATGGTCTCGTACTTCAGGCTCCCATTTGATCTGTGGTTGCATGCAGCCACTGCTTGGCTTCCGCCAACGGAAGGAAGACCAGCGTGACAGTTGTACGACAGGGTTTCCATGAATGTAGATTAATCAACGAAATAAATGTATAGTGTACGCAAGTGAATTAATAGAGCAAATAAATGCAAACTGTGAATCGAACCAAGCACCCAAGCTTTACCTATGCCATTCCAATTCCCAAACATCGAAAGAAATTCGGGGATAGAGTGGCTTAGCGTCCCGCCCCTGCGTTATGAGGTCGCTCTAGGT